GTTGCTAGTTTGCCTGATAAGAAGAGTGATGGAAACTGATCAGCATCATTGTAAATTAAAATTCTTTCAGGAGTAGAGAGAGCTCTGTTATTTCTACCTGCCCTGTGAAATTCACGTTGTGAGCCTCATCTTTAACCCCACCGCTGTTCTCAGAGCAATGCATGCAGGTTTGTGTGGACCGATTCTGTAGCGATCACTGTCGACGGTACGAACTCCGCCTTGAGTTAAACGTCAGCAGCAACAGATGCTGTGCAGTAAAAATAACTCTTCAGACCTTTAACATTCATGCTCAACTGTACATTTGGGAGGCTGGAACCACGGCAAGAGTTTTATTAACCTGAAAATGGTTCTCTCTATCAAGCGCCGTTTCATCCAGCGTTAGCACAGACTCAGTTGCAGTTAGCACGGGTGAGTGTGTCTGGCTGCACTTGCACACACAACAATATTCACCATCATATAAGCGGGAGGGGCACATTCATCTGTGTGTGACATCTGTCATAGGACCCTGACTCCGTGGCCTGACAGTAAACACTCAATGATGGGTTGTATGAAAGAATGATATAATGCCCACAAGGAGAGGAAATACCATGCAGAGTTCAAGTTTTGTATGTAAAGTGTGGCAAAGTGCTGCAGTAAATTGCCATTTTCTTCACATTAGTCACGGTGCAAAGGAAGACTGTTTTTTAAGCAAAGAGTAATCTCTGGAATTTAGCATAAAGACGCTTGGTAATTTCAGGCTTTCTGCCTGCTGTTGCTCCTTTGTGGGAGAACCAACAAACTCCATCCATTTTTTACTTCCTCGACATCAAAGGAAGATTGACTCTTTCAGAGATTCCTCTTGCAAAACAAGAGGGAGAAATTTAGAAACATTTCTTCTGATTCACGTTGTTTCTAATTTTGGAATAAGTCTGTTATTTCTTTTTGTTTCTGGTTACTTCTTAGTGTATCATAGTAATATGTTTTCTTTATCAGGATAGCAGCATATCTGAGTGCTTTTGTTAGTTTAGTACCTGAGAATGTTACTCTATATCTGTTTCATAATTTGCAAAAGAATTAAAAGTTTGAAATTTATTAATGTGTGTTTAATGGTTTTACCCTTATCAATAGGGTGTAGAGAAAAGATCTGTGTTTATCCAGATACAGAAAATACAGTATTAAATTGATTGTTGAAGCAAGACTGCAAGGAAGCATTTATGTTAAAGTTCCAGGAAGGGAAATGTCTGAATTTTTAAGTGAGTTCACAGTTACATTTATACTTATAGAAGTAATGCCAGTATTAGGACAGTGACAGTTAATAAAGTACTTATTGTCTGCTTTGAGCAATAATAGAAAAAGCTGAATTATTTCCAAGTGTAATCAAGTTACTATTGTAGTAATCACAGTGCATGTTCTGAAACTTTTGAGACTTCTGATTCTTGAAGTAGTAGGTATATTCACATCATACTTAGGCTTGAACATGTTGCTTTGGTGCTGGGATAAAACTTGCATAATGTCTATCTTTTGTCATTCAAACATACCATTTCCATGTCTCCTTATCCTTTATTTCTTTGGGATGCCTGTGCCTTTTAGACAGCCAGGATAGAGGAGGTTAGGGAGAGAGGATCCTCCAGCAGAAGGATGCGCAAGGGGCTTTGTCCAATCAGGTGATGGAAGCTCAGTCTCACAGACAGAGTATGAAGACAGGGCCGCATCCCATGACGTGGTAAGCTTTTGATACACATAGTATCTAGTACCTTTGTCAAAAGAAAACCCAGTTTTCCTGCACATTTTTCATGATATAAGGTGGGATTTGAGCACAATTCTAAGAGCCAGATTTTGGACTCAGATTAAGTTCAAATTGACTGCAGGTTTGCAGAGTGAATGTGGCAAGTTGCCATGTTTAGATGCCTTGCTTAACACGGCTGAGATTCATTTCGCTCGTCTACTACATATGGAAGCTTTCCACTAGTCAGGCATCACACCAATTGGTTCTCGTTTAAACTTCATGATCTCCTCCCCACTCCGTCCCTACCTTTTTAAAAAAATAATAGATTGGAAAATAGAGGCTTTTAAGGTTGATAACCTGCCCGGCGTTGTAAGATGGCAGAACAAGGACTTGAATCCAGGTCCCTTTGATGCCAAACTTCAAGTTCTTAACTTCTGAGCCAAATTCTTTTGAATTACTTGGAACACTTGATTAAACAAACACTGCTGGGCCCTAGAGTTTCTGATCCTGTAGGCATAATATATACTGTACTCCAGGGCCCAAGGATTTGATTCTAACCGGTTCTGAGAAACACTGACTGACTCCGTTCCCCTGGAGAGCGAGAGAGAGAGTTCACGTGTCCTGCTTGGGTTCATAATCGCCAGCATTTATTGACTGCCTAACCATGTCCTAGACACTCTTGAGTTATTCCGTTCTCATCCTTTCATTCATCTTAGCCAGTTAATCACATTGCAAGGAGAAGATAGGGGTTGTGACCACCACTTAAAATGAAGAGAAAGAAACTGAGGTAGGGAAGGCTGTCCAGTAAGATAGCCTCACCTTATAGGTTATTTTTTTTTAATGTAATTCAACCTTTTCTGTAAATTAAAAAAAAAAAGTGAGGGTAATGATAAACAAGATGTGAAGTTGCTCAGTCATATGCAACTCTTCGAGATCCCATGGACTGTAGTCTTACCAGGCTCCTCCGTCCGTGGAATTTTCCCGACAATGATACACAAGATGATCATACAAGGATCCTAATGAGCTGCAAGTCCTGGATATAGATGGAAAAGGTATCATGACAGTTCTTAGCACCCCTTGCCACCCAAGTAGATACAGTGTCCACACTAGTCCTCAAAACTGAAGAAAAGCCTCCTGTGTTGAAATGGGGGTTTTAAAAGAAGCTTTCCTCAAGTCAGTTCCTTACAATGCAAATACCCTGTGGTGTGGCTGTGCCTACCCTCGGTGTTTACAGCAGCGGCCAGACCAGTCACCTGCTTTCACTTGATGTTAACAGCAAGCTTGGGCCTGTGGTGTTGGCCTCGCTGCTCGTCAATGTACTGGCCGTATCTGGAAGAGCTCTAGAAAAAACCTGGGGAATAAACAGCTCTCTGTTCAAAATCATTTTCTTAAAATGATTGCTTCCAGTTCAGTCACTCAGTCATGTCCGACTCTTTGCAACTCCATGGTCTGCAGCACGCCAGGCCTCCCTGTCCATCACCAACTCCTAGAGCTTGCTCAAACTCATATCCATCGAGTCGGTGATGCCATCCGCCCATCTCATCCTCTGTCGTCCCCTTCTCCTCCTGCCTTTTGGGTCTTTTCCAGTGAGTCAGTTCTTCACATCAGGTGGCCAAAGTATTGGAGTTTCAGCTTCAACATCAGTCCTTCCAATGAACACCCAGGACTGATCTCCTTTAGGATGGACTGGTTGGATCTCCTTGCAGTCCAAGGGACTCTCAAGAGTCTTCTCCAACACCACAGTTCAAAAGCATCAATTCTTCAGTGCTCAGCTTTCTTTATAGTCCAACTCTCACATACATACATAACTACTGGAAAATGAAAACAAGGAAAATGATTGGTTTAGCTGGGAGACTAAAGAGGAAAAAAGCTGTCAGGAATGAGAAATCATTCCCTTGGTGGAAATAAAGTGACTTGGCCCTGAGGTCGGTGCTGGGAGGGGATTCTTCATGACTCGTCTCTGGCCTGGACTGCTTCGGAAGGCCGGGACCCCTGCAGCGATGTCCAGAAGTGGATTTCATGCTCAGAGAAGGTTGAGAGAAAAGGAGACACTTCTTTCTGTGGATCCTTGGAGGAGAGCTGTTGCAGGCCACTCCTGGGAAGAAAGGATTTCCTTCCTTTGCATGTTTTCCTCCCAGAGTTCTGAAACATGACACAGCTCGTTACTCTGATGAATGATGCAATTCTAGAAATGACCTATATTTCAGTTGGGCTGTGAAATCACTGATACTCACCAGCAGGGATCACAGAGTCCAGGTGACTTCATATTTGGAACTGCGCTGATGGGGCCCGAGCATTAAATTAGCAGACATGTCACCTGAAGTTGGCCACCCTACAGCAGGGTGGTCACCAGTCTTTGGCGCTGGCCTGCCTGCAGCTGCCAAGGAAAATCTGAGAAAATGAAGAAAGTGAGAGAGAAAATCAACCCATGATAAAGTCCAAAACCTGTACTCTGCTTAGATACCTTGTTTCCCCGTTAGCTTTAAGGCTAAAAGAAAAAGTATAAGGCATTTCAAAAGGTGAGGTCCCATCGATATATAAATATTAATACTTTGTATGTTTGGGTCCATTAAACATTTTGTTGAGGGACTGTTAAGTCCAAGTGTAAAAATAAGATCTATTTGTCCCTCCTGTCAAGGAGAGCTCTTCATGGACCTTGCAGTCAAGTTAATTTTTAGAAGAGCAGCCAAATCTGTAGTTGGTGTATCCAGATGTACATCTTGTCTTGAGCATGTGTGCATGCTCAGTCGATCAGTCGCGTCTGACTCTTTGTGACCCCATGGACTGTAGCCCGCCAGGCTCCTCTGTCCAAGGGCTTCTCCAGGCAGGAATACTGGAGTGGGTTGCCATGCCTTCCTCCAGGGGATCTTCCCAACCCAGGGATCAAACCCACTCCTCCTGTGGCTCCTGCATTGACAGGCAGATTCTTTACACTGAGCCACATGGCAAGCCCTTTTCTGTTTGGTGGGAAGGCATCAGAGCTCACTCTGCATCCCAGCCATCCTGACCCTCAGATTGGAGTTCTTCCTGGATGACCTTATTCATGTATTGTACAGTCTTAAGCTGTAAACTTTCAAAAGGTATCATGACTTGCTACTTTTTTGGATATTCATCTTTGCATTTTAGCCCTGTTTGTTTGTTTGTTTTTTCTTTAAAGACTTCAAGCACAGTAGCAGAAACAGTAAAGAACAAAACAGAAATACAGCCTGGATCTTAGCACGTGGGTGGTGCTGAACTTTGACACGTGCAGTTGGATGGAAAGAGTCACCTGTGCCTTTGTTCTGGTCTGTTCCAGGTTGACCAAGCCCCTGTCGTTCGCTGACTGTGTTGGCGATGAGCTGCCGTGGGGATGGGAAGCCGGGTTCGACCCTCAGATTGGTGTCTACTACATCGATCACATAAACAGTGAGTGTTTCCTTTTCGGTACAAACAAGCATGTCAGACAAGTAATCCCCCCAAATCTAGAGTCATACAGGAGAGCAAATGCTCTACAGAATGAATTTCTCTATTTCAAACCCTCACTTTCCATATTTAACAGAAATGTCCATTTTGGAAGTTTTGTTGGGCTTATGGGGGCAGAGAGGGAGAGAGGAGTCTGTCTGTCTGTCTGTTTGTCTGTCTGTCTGAAAGGGCACCAGACCCTCCACCTTGCAAGTCCCCTCCCCCATTCCGAGTGACGCACCCTGTGCAGATATGTCCATAGTACCGGCTGCTTACTCATTGTACTGCCCTCACATTGTTTGTAGGTTTTTCCTGACTAAATTGTGAACTTCTTGTGGACGGTGACTGTGGCTTTACTTTTCTGCCTTTGGGTGCCTCGTATGATGATAAATTCTTCCATGTTAGAACAATGAAGAGCTTTGTTGTGCAATGCACAGGTTAAAAACCTCTCTGTTTTTAAAGAAATTAAAGTGCATTTCGGTTCTAAATTATGCGTTAGAAAACACTGTTCTGAATATTTAAAAACTTGATAATCAGAATATAAATTTTTAGGTCCCCCATTTTTCTTTGGTACGGTAATGGGATCCCAGGGGCCTGGCAGATTTACTGTGGCCCGAAGTGCCCCAGTTACCCACAGCAAGTAGTCTTCCCACTAAAAAGGCTCTGATCCGTTATCTCATTAATCTAAAAGACACTCCTGTGAAGTCATTTAGGGAGGAAATTGTATGTTCTTCTCTTAACAGCTGGTCTACACATATGTTATGTCTTGACATTGTTTAGTTTCAGCATTATTTTCTTTTTTTTGTTTTTCAGTAAAAAATTAGACAGTGTTTGGCTGTTTAATACTATTTCTAAGTCACACTATTAAATACCTAGAGGTAAAAGTTTTGACCTTGACAATAATAGTTCCTTTAGGCCCTAAGTGTTTTTGTGATAGAATTCACCTTTCAATGGCTGTGCGTGTGGAGTCAGGGTTCTGTTTAGATATTGATGGAGGTGTCTGTAACTATTAATAGAAGGTAATTATGAAGTACTGTCTGTAAGGTTTTGATATTATCACTGCAACCAGAAGTAAATCACTTTTTGATAGAGTCAGAGTTGTACCTTAACTCTTTTGTCTTTTAGTAATAGGTCCATCTACATATAAAAATGAACAAACTTTAAGCATGTATTTCAATGAATTTTGGCAAATATATGCTCCTTTGGAGCTGCTGCTCAGTCAAGATACAGAGTATGGTTTTTTCCTCTGTGTTTTCAGCTTTGCTCCCTTAGCCTTATCAGCCCCTGGATACCTTGTGCCCTTCCCTTTAAAAAATATTTCAAAATTTTAAAAATATTTTTCATAGAAGCGATACATGAGCTGAAGAGAAAAGTATAAATTATAGGTAAAAAAAAGGAAGAAAACTCAGAGATAACCAGGTATTCTAAACCTTTCATTGTGTCTGTCCAGACCTTTCCGTGTGGACACACACACACACACACACACAGTTTTCAATGTATTTTTTATATCAAGTGGAATTATATCACATACAGTTTTATAAACTGCTTTTTTTAAACTTAATATATAATCTTTCATCCAAAAAATTTTCTGTGCAATCATATCAACTCTTTTGATAAGGGAACCTCACATTTCTCTCAGATGATCTTCCTAAAATATAACTAAGATCCTTTCCTGCCCTCACTTAGAACCTTTCTGCCACACACTGTTGCTTACAGAATGAGTTTTGTATCTCTCAACGTGACATTCAAGAAACCACAGCTCGTCCCTCTTGAGGTCTTGGGGAAGAAGTGAAAGAAGAGAGTTAGATTCTATTCCCACCGTCGCCAGTAGATCAAAGGAGAACAAATCAAGCACCACGTCCATTCTGAGGGGTGTGCCTGCAGCTCCCGAGAGAAGGTGCTTTAAGCTGATGCCCAAAGGATGAGTACATTAACCAGGCCTGGAGAATAAGGCGCTGGGGTACAGTTTGGGGGCTGGAAGGAGAAACTGCCAGCAGAAGGAAGCCCCATAAGTAAAGCCAGAGGTCTGAAGAGGCCGCAGGAAGTAGGACTTAATGAAAGAAAGAAGAGAAAGTCAGTGATCTGAGGCTGGTGTGAACGAGGCTGGGAGAACAGCTGGAGTGCCAGACTGGGGTTGGTGCTCGAAGGGCCTCTTGTCTCAGACCTTTCAGAGCCCCGCTTAATCACTGCCCATTCCACCGGGCCTGACTTCTTCCGCTGGAAAAAGTCCCGTGTCTCTAAACTGCCATGGCACTCAACCTTGCTCTCCTCAAGGCTCTCACCATTTTCTACTGTATAAAATGCTTGTTGTCACTGTTGCTTTAATTCCTATGTCACGACCTGTCCCAAGCTTTGTAATCTCTTTGGCAGGAGGGATCACGCCTGAGCATCTTGTTTCCCCTAGTCACGAAGCAGATGCTCAACTGTCTATAGAAATAACACAGCGTAACAGGTAAACATAGCAGAGAGTTTCTAAAATGGAAGATAAGGAGAGTTGCTCATATTCATTTTATTCATTCTTCCTGAGCGCAGCAGAGAGAATAGAAATGTGCTTAAGAGACAGAAGTAATATTCCTTTGAAGAGTCTAATGTTATCTTCCCTGATAAGTTCTTGTAGCTCACAGTGTGTTCGCTATCTATAAATTTCTCCATCTGTAAAACTGATGGAATGTGAATTCCCTTGAGGTGTGTGATGTCTTAACAGTATGTGATATATTACTTCTCTTATATAGTAGACAGCATGCAAATTATATTGCATTATAATACAGTGATCTCCTAAGGCCACCAGGTCTTAATAAAAAAAAATACCATGTTTGTGTAATATACTTTTTTGAGTATTTACATTTAATAAATATTCTTCACTGATCTATTCAGCAAACATAAGTGATGGAGATAAAGCCCAGTCCTACTTTATGAAGCCTTCTTCAAAGTGCCTCTGGGAACCCACGTTTGTAGTTCCTATTTGAATGGGACGGTATATCAGAAATATCAGTGGTGCCTGCCGAAGCTAGTAGCATCCGCTATTTAAACCAGTCGACTGGAGTATTTCAGCTAAATCTATCCAAAACAAATGCTGACAGGTTATTATTATGATTATTACCATTGTACTTTACTCACTTAAGTGTCCATCGGTGTTACTTTCAGTGTTTTGTGGCAATTTAGCTGTTGACAAGCATTTTATTGAAAAGTATGCCCGTTCGCCAATATGTAAGGAAATATGATTAGGTAAAACCTCTAAAGATATTGAGAGAGAACTGGGAATATATATCTTACTATAGCTGTTACTTAACAAACATTTCAGGTTTTTCATTTACACTTTCAATTTGTGTCATCTCTTTATTTGGTTAGTTTCCTAGTTATTTAGCTCACTGGAACAGGTTACCCCAAAACTTAGGACTTAAAATATGTTTATTATCTCATCATTTCTGTGGGCGATGCATCCAAGCAAGGCTGGAAAGAGTCAGGCCTCTGGCTCTAGGGCTCTCTCCAGCTGACCTCAAGGTGTGAGCCGGGCTGCATGACCAGAGGAACTCTGCTCTAACCTCACATGTGTGGCTGTCAAAACAATTCAGCTTCTTGTCAGCTGCCAGCCAATGGCCCCCTCCTCACTCCTTGCATGTGTGGGTTTGTGTGTGTGTGCATTCAGTCATGCAGCCATGTCCAACTCTTGGCGACCCCATGGACTGTAGCCTGCCAAGCTCTTCTGTCCGTGGAATTTTTCCAGGCAAGAACCCTGGAGTGGGTTGCCATTTCCTTCTCCAGAGCATCTTCCCAACCCAGGGATCGAACCCACATCTCTTGTATCTCCTGCATTGGCAGGTGGGCTCTTTACCGCTAGTGCCACTTGGAAAGCCTGCTATGTACATAGTGTGAAAGTGGAAGTGTTAGTTGCTTAGTAAGTAAGTAAAGTTGCTCAGTCATGTCTGACTCTTTGCAACCCCATGGACTATAGCCTACCAGGCTCCTCTGTCCATGGGATTTTCCAGGCAAGAGTACTGGAGTGGGTTGCCATTTCCTTCTCCAGGGGATCTTCCCGACCCAGGGATCGAACACAGGTCTCCAGCATTGCAGATGGACGCCTTACCGTCTGAGCCTGCTTAGTCATGTTCAACTCTTTGCAACCCCATGGACTGTAGCCCTCTAAGCTCCTCTGTTCATGGGATTCTCCAGGCAAGAATACTGGAGTGGGTTGCCATTCCCTTCTCCAGGGGGTCTTCGCAACCCAGGGATCAAACCTGGGTCTTCTGCATTGTAGGGAGATTTTTTACAATCTGAGCCACCAGAAAAGCCCACTATGTCCATAGGACGGCTTTTAATTTGGAAGTTGGCTTCATTAGATCGAAAAAGCCAAGAAGAGCCAGGCAGAGAGAGCAAGACAGTGGTCGCAGCCCCTGTAACCCAGTCTCCAGAGACACCCCATCTTCATCCGTGTGCTGTCCATTTGAGGCAAGTCACTAGGTCTAAGTGGTATTCAGAGGTTTACACACTAAGAGATAAGGATAATCCTGGGTCATCCAGAGTTAAGACCATACATTTCTGTGTGTTAAAGGATGAATTCTCTGTACTTTGAGTCAGTTTGCATTCATATATTTCAAAATACTGGAATTGAATGTAAATATAGCACATTTAGGTGGCCAGAGATCTTGAGTTATAAGGAATATTTGAAATGGAGATGTTTGGGCTCTTACTGACTGACCTCTGTCTATGACCTGGGCCTTTATTGTGGTTTCCTCTAGGAGGGGTGCAGGAGGCAGGTTTCAGCAACTTTAAGATGGGATATTTCAAATAATTTCATAATTGCACAGAGGATGCAGTCAGTGCATGAGCTGTCGCAGAGCGCAGGCTCTCAGCTGCAGCCACTCATGGGAATCACTAAAGGAGCTTATAAACCTGTCATTGTCTGGGTTCCACCTGCAGAAACTCCGATTGGTCTGGGATTTCTTTTAGAGCCCTCCAGGTGATGCCCATGTGCAGAAGGGCAGGACCAAGAACAATACCTTGGGCTATTCTCCTGAAGCTGGGCACCGGGGTTTGGTCTTTTTGCTTGTTTTAAAATTTCTGATCTGCTGTGGACTGACTGGTATTTTTATAAAAGAACAATCACCATGAATTAGAAAAGTCGAAAAAATTAAAAATGCAAGCCCCAGTATTATTATTAGAGTCAACAGATACACAGTAACTGTATGAAATTGCTGTAAGCTTTCAAAATTTACTCTTGATGCCTGTTCTTACTGTCACAGACACATAACAGAGCTCATGGACCGGTGCTGGCCTGCATCCCACACCCTGAGGGCAGGGCAGCCTGGCAAGAGTCCTGAGTTAAGTGCACAGAAATGTAGGGACCATATTGGCTTCAGATTACACAGGGCCATAAGTGGCATGGCTTCTATTCTGAAGGTATTGGGGACCCAGAGGGTTCTGGGAAGGGATGACCCAATCACAGCCATGTCGCTGTGCTTACTTTGACATTGCATATGATAAATTTGCAGTGAGAATAAACTGATGACAAAGACAGAAAGGGGTCAGAGTGGGGATGGACTGGGTAAAATGAAGCAAAAACTCTATCACGTTTCTGGAGACGTCACTTCATAATACTAATAAACTACTTGAAGGAGATAAAAATTAAAGACAGCTACTCTTTTTTTTTTTTTTGGCTGTGCCTCTCAGTTGCAGCATGTGGGATCTAGTTTCCTGACCAGGGGTTGAACCCAGGCCCTCTGTATTGAGCGTGCAAAGTCTTAGCCACTGCTTAGAGCAGAGACCACCAGGGAAGTCCCAGCTACCTCTTTTTTAAAATGTAAATAACTCCCCTCCCCCCCCCCAAAAAAAAACCCCGTCATTAAATTCTGGAAAATAAGCCACCTGATTTTATTTTCAGAAACCACGCAGATCGAAGACCCGAGGAAGCAATGGCGGGGGGAGCAGGAGAAGATGCTCCAGGACTACCTGTCGGTGGCCCAGGACGCGCTGCGGACGCAGCGGGAGCTGTACCACGTGAAGGAGCAGCGGCTGGCCCTGGCCCTGGACGAGTATGTCCGCTTGAATGATGCCTACAAGGAGAAGTCCAGCTCTCGCACCAGCTGTAAGTACAGCGTGGCTGCTCAGGCCTGAGAAGGGGGCACCGACCTCAGGTGATGGGAGGCCACCAAGGGCCCGTGGGACGGCGCTCTGGGTCCTGCGCCCCCTTGGGCAGGAAGAGCCCCTCAGCCCGGCTTCAGAGGAAGGTCTCCTCGCTGAGCGATTGACGTTTACCTTTTCACATCAGGGCAAGTAATCTGGCCCTTGTGCTGCTCTCATACGTTGTTTTTAGTGGGACTAAACTGAAACTAGAGCGGTTAGCACAGACCAAGTTTCTGCTGACCGACCAACCTCTCGTCTCAGAGACGCCTTTTTTAAAGCAGCAGCTGTGATGGGCTCAGACGTCCCACTGAAGTGACAAGTTTCTGGGTAACACAAAGCGCATTTAAGCTGTATCTGCAGTAAGCTCCTCTAAGATTTTATCCGTAGATGTAAAATCCACAGGAAACTGAGGCACTGGGGTATTGATAACGTTCCTTTTTATTGAAAAAATGATGAAGGTTTGAAGATGACTTTTTATATCTAGGTGTCTGATGAATGACAATAAAGGAGTTAAAAAGTTAAGTAAGTATCCCAGAAGCATGTAAATCTTGTCGTTTTTAGCGTTTGTAATTTCTAAGTTCACAGCTAGTTATGCAACTTGTACAAGTCACTTTTTTTTTCCCCCCTCTCTTCTCCCCTTGAAAGTATTCTCAGGCTCTTCATCCAGTACTAAATATGACCCTGATATCCTAAAAGCTGAGATCTCCACTACGCGATTAAGGGTAAGATGTATTTATTTATTTTTTTTACTGTGGTTCTATTAACATGCTGAACATATGCACAGAGTCTAGAAGAGGCCTCTGTGGTCATCTGCCATCTCAATTCAGTGAAGGAACCATTCCACTTATCCTCGATGGATGGTCTTTCTGCTTTTGTTAAAACATGTTCATGAGATTGTTCTTATTAATATGACAGAGTGTGTTCCATTTCTGGGGAGTTTTATTGTTTGCGCTTAGTATGTAGAATCAAAATATGGTTTAAAAGTTTAAATGGTTTAAATCAAAAGTCTAAAAAACTTCAGTTTTCCTTTTTGTGCTGAAAGTACACGTCCAAAGTGGAGCTTAGTTGCTTTTTCATCAGACGGCCCAATCTATCAAGGTGTTCACAGTTCACATTACCAAGTCACTTCTTTTTCTAGGTCAAACTTTACTGGTGCCTCACACTTCTTATGAGTTGTTTGCTGATCTTTACCCTAAATCTTTCTGACCACACGGCTGTTAAGGTCACAGCTTGTTTATCCTTGATTTTTAGGGTCTTAAAGATGGCTCACCAAGTAAATAAACTCGTGCAACCCTTGCATAGGTCATGAAAGAGATTATTGCCGTGACCCCAGAAGCCCCCATGGCATTCCCTGGTCACCCTTGTTCTTCTCCCTACAGGTGACACTGGGTGACCTTTATTGACAATGCTATAAATCAATTTTCTGCCTGCTTTGAACTTTGTGAAACTGGCATGCTACCACATGGATTACTGATGGCTTCTTTTGTTCAACATTTCTTCTGTATTTTTTAAAAACTTATTATTATTATTTTAATTTATTTTGCAACCTGTGTTGGGTCTTAGCTGAAGCACGTGGGGTCTTAGTTGCAGAATGTGGGATCCAGTTCCCTGACAAGGGCTCAAACCTGGTGCTCCCTGCATTGGGAGCTAGGAGTCTCAACCACTGGACCCTTGTTCAACATTTTGAGATTCATCCACATACACTTTTATTGCGTGTAAACCATCCCACCTTTGTGTAGATACCATGAATTCTTCATTTCCTCTACTATTGATGTACATTAGAGTTTATGCAAATTGCTAGTAATTAAAAACTTGCATCTGAATGTGTGTGTCTGTTACACATGCCTTTGGGTGCACAGATGTATGCGTTTTTGTTGGTTATGCAACCAGGAGTGGAATTGCTCTGTTAAAATATACTCGAGCAGCTACTCACACCCAGTTTCAGGCCTTGTTAGTCAATCAGTTCAAATTATTTCCTTATTTCTTTATGATTTTTCATCAGAGTGTTCTGCTTAGTTTTTAAACAGTTTTGGATTTTCTTATCCTTTATTCAGCTTAATTCCACCACACGTTTTCAGTTCTAAAATTTCTGTTTATTTTTTGTTTTTAATTACTTGCCCAAATTCTCCACATCAATGTCATAATTTTTTGAACAAAATAATCACAGTTATTTTAAAATTCCATGTCTTGATTAGTATAATATCTAAAACGTTTTATGTGTTGATTCTTCGTTTTGGTCTGGTTTTTTTTCTCTTGATTTTTGGTCAGTATTTGACCTCTCACAGCTGCTTGCTTTTAATTAAGAGCCATATATTATGTATGAAAGAGAATAAAGATAATTTAAGGTTTGGGATGATCTCGTTAGCCTTCAAAGAGGATTTACTTTTGCTTCTTAGAGGAAGTTAGTTCAGGGGCAGATAACTTCAATTCACCCAGGGTTTGAGTTTTCTGAATTCTGGGCTCCATTCTTCTTCTTCTTTTTACTTTTTCACCACACCCATGGCATAAGGGGAATTTGTGCCCCGACTGGGAATCGAACCCACAGGGAAGTCCTTGGGCTTCGTTCATTTTCCTCAGAATGGGTCTATTTCCAGAGCACCGTTTCTCTCAGGTCAAAGCTCTTCGGAATCCCCGTTGAACTCCTGGGCTGTTTCCTGAGGAAGCAAGCTGACTGAGGCTGGACTCCTCTCTCCCTGGAGCCCTCGGCTCTGAGAAATAGCCAGTGCTTCTCTGCGTGTCAGGCTCCCGGTCACTGCATTCTCCTAGCTTTTCACTTTCTTGATCATGTAAGCAGATGCCTCGGAAGGAAAACCGATGCCAAGTTTGGATCTTGCCTATGGGCCTCTCTTATCATTTGGCTCTTTAACAGAAGTTCTTGCTGCCCTGGTAATTCTCCAGTATCTCCAAATAGATTTTTGTTGGTTTAACCTCGCAACTTTTCTATCTGTTCTCAGAAAACGTGTGAAGAGAGTCTATCTATACTTTCCGGAAGTAAACCTCTCTTTGGTCTAGACTTATGGGTGTAATTTATGAAGTCACTGTTGGAAGTTTTCTTTTCTGCCACAAACAGCCCTTTGCCCTGTCCACCCGCCTTCATTTCTCTGTCTGTTCCTCAAGGAGCTCGCAGGTGGTTTGTGGGACACCTCATTGCTGCATCTCTGTATCATGTCTATACATTTCTGTAATCTCAAGCAGATATCTTATTTTTAAAAAGGCTGGGGTGGGACAACAGGTGAAGTTATGTTGTCAAAACTTACCCTTGCTAAACTTCAGTATTCCCTGGAGCTGTGCCCATCTCAGACGTCACTACGTATTATTGCTTCCCCCTTGAAATCTTAACCATCCTTCACAGTTCTTTTCTTTGTAAGACATAAATGTAGTACCTCACATTGTATATGGAATACCTCAACACACTATCATAATCTGTCGCTTTAGATCCCGTTTTAGGAAAGATTCTAACTAAGAGAGGGTTTTTTTATTTTTTAAAAAACAAAAGCAAGGCTTCCCTCGTGGATCAGTGGTAGAGAGTCCATCGGCCAACGGAGGGTACGTGGGTTCGATCCCTGTCCCGGGAAAAGCCCATAATGCCTCGGGGCAGCCAAGCCTCTGTGCCGCGGCTGTGGAGCCTGTAGCGCTGGGAGCCGCAGACTGCTGCGCCCGCGCGCCCTGCAGCCTGTACCGCACAGCGAGGGAAGCCACTGCAAGGAGACGCCCTCGCCACAGCTAGAGAGTAGCCCCTGCTCGCCGCCACTGGAGAAAAGCCTGCACAGCAAAAGCCCAGCACAGCCGAAAAAAGCAAATAAAATTATTCAAAAAAGAAGAAACGAGAGCCTACAGGTTGCCTCACACCAGTAGCCGTCGGAAGGAAACGGAGCCTTATATAACTGGGAGAGATCCCAGAAGACCCCACGGAGTCACGTCCCCCAGACCCATCTCCTGATGCCGCAGAACCCCTCTGATAAAGCTTATTTTGCCGCGGGTTTAACGCGCGCTTACGAGCCTGTGTTCAGACGTGTGTCATCGCTGTGGGACCACAGAGTGAGTCGGGGAGGAGTGCCCTCCTCCACAAGGCGCTCGCCTCAAGAGGGAGGAAGCATTCACGAGTGACTGGAGCGAAAGATGAGAGCCTGTCTTCCCTTAGTTCCTGTCCGTGAAAATGCCTTTCAATAGGGATGCTTCCACAGCACATGGGCGGCCTCGTGGTCACGTTCTCTTCTGATGCTTCTAGCCATGTCATGGTTTGACCATGGCAGGCCAGGTGGTGCCCTCTTTCTGCCACCTGGGCATGTTTTGGCCAGGTAGCTCTTTGAGAATGCCCCAGGCGTTCTGAAGGGCCTGGATACCTTAAACCAAGTTTCGTGGATTCTGACAACCTAGCTTTTCTTAGCTCGCCTCTCCTGGAGAAGTCCTTGCATGTACCCATCCCTTTCACAAAATAATGCCACAGAAATGGTTGTGCATTCACTCCGTCGTGTCTGTCTTTGCAACCCCATGGACTGCAGCACACCAGGCTTCTCTGTCCTCCACTATCTCCTAGAGTTTGTTCACACTCATGTCCATTGAGTTGGTGAGGCCATCCAACTGTCTCATCCTCTGTCATCCTCTTCTCCTCCTGCCTTCAATCTTGCCCAGCATCAGGGTCTTTTTCAGTGAGTCGGCTCTTGGCTTTAGGTGGCCAAAGTATTGGAACTTCAGCTTTAGCATCAGTCCTTCCAATGAGTTTTCAGGATTGATTTCTTTTAGGATTGATTGGTTTGATCTCTTTGCAGTTCAGGAGACTCATAAAAATAGTAACTCATGAATTAGCTAGCTCCTCATTGCTTTGGTGTCTTATAGAACCTATCTCCATTTTAGGTTCTAATAACAATTTTTCATACAAAGCCAAGTGCTGGTTCATACCACATTATTTTAACGTAACAATGTTAGCAACTGTGCTTTATTTATTTTTATTGGATTAGAGCAAGTGGGTCAAGTGTTTGGGAACCAGGTACATAGGAGCATCTGTCTAAAACATCTGTTTTATGTTATTTTATATTATGGTCGTAGGTGTTGGTGATCACTGGACTTTAGTTTCCTCCTTAGGCTAATGGGATGACAGTACTTCCTGGCGTCTAGTTGTTGAAAAGGTGAAATGAATAAATTAAGCTCTTAATAATATACTCATCATTTTTAGAGGTAATTGTCAATTTTTTTAAAATCTTTTTTTAAGATGAGGAATGTAAAAAACTTATACCAAAATTTATTATTTCATTTGTATCTGACATAAACTAAACCTTCAATTCAATTGATATTTTACAAAGCTCATACCAAAACTTACTAATAAGTGGGATTTAGTGAAAATTTGATGCAGGAAAATTTTGATGAATTTTGATTGCTTTTACTGATTTTTTATCAAACTGAGATAAAATGTTGGAAGTGTAAAAGTGGAAATTTCTTTAGAAATACAGTTGCATTTGAGAAATTTTTTTATTTAGTTAATTTTTTCAGATATTTTCATATAGATTATTTTTAGTCTTTATTGAATTTGGTACAGTATTGTTTCTGTTTTATGTTTTGGTGTTTTGGCTGGGGGCATCTCAGGTCCTCACCCAGCGATCTAACCTGCACCGCCTGCATTGGAAGGCAGAGTCTTAACCACTGGACCACCAGGGAAGTCTCACATTTGAGACGTCCAGCATGTCACTACAGCATCTGCTGTATGATCCAACTTCTAATTGTGTCA